CCTCGAGCCCCTTCATCTTCAAAAAAACATTTTTATAGGTATATTTTGCGAAAAGAGTTAAATAAGAATTGTAAGGTAGAGTTAAGCTACTGTCTTCCCTTCTCTTGTTCAAATTCCAACAATTGTCCCATTGTCCATGTAATAATCGCACCAAGATAAAACTTTGTACGTTTCACATCAAGACATATGGGAACGCAGATACAGATTGTCAAGAATAAAAAAAGCCCTGAGTCACGGATGCGCAGTGGAATAAAAAATAAGGATAGAGAAAGGAGCTTCTCCCTTTTGTACACAGAAAGACAGAGTCCATCACTCTCTTACAGAGATTCTCTCTGTCTATCTTCTGCGCATCTCGCGGCCTTTTTTATTCTTGACAAAGCTGCACTTGTTTTGACACTTTCAGTCTTTTGTTACATAGTTAGGTACGAATAGATATATCATGGAACACTCCACACATCTTCTATTAACATTCTTCGATTTTTCTCTTGACATTTCGCCATTTTCTCACTTCTTAAAAATCACAGTAAAAAAAAACAAATCAACTCTTCTCGTGGATCAAAATAAAATCTTAAAACTGAGAAGTATTGATCTTTGACAATTCGTAAACACAAATACAAATTATCTAATCACACTATAGACTATAGTACAAAAATATTTACGATCAAAGTACTGAAGCACTTTTAACAATACATACTTAACCTAGAATTAAAATTTTGTTCTTAGAAATTAAAAAAAAAAACAGTTCCAGTTAGGGGTGGCAACATAATCCGCGAGATTTTGATGTCACCACCCAAGAGCTAATCGAGTTGAATGGCATACGTCGAAGGGATTAAGTTATCAAAAAGACAACAATAACGGATCGATATCTTCACTCTAGTCCTCCGAGGGAGATGCCGTACAAAAGAGTTCTCCCCTAAGCGATCATTCCTCTCAACATGATTGCACATCATTACATCAATAAGTTTTAGATTCGTATCGCGAACGTTATTTTCTCCTAGTTGAGTCCCGTCGACAGTTGCGTCACGCTTTTTATTTTATAAGAAGAGATTCGGAAATAATTTAGTATTTTCCCCGGTTAACGACTATTTTCAAAACAAACCCATAAAGTGGTATATATCGAATCTATTACTAGGCCGTTTCGTTTATATTTATTTTTATTATTTTATTTACCAAACTTGAAAAGAATGACTTGTCAAAATCGGCCCAGCACTTAATTTGTCAAAAAACATATATTAGGAAAAAACACGAACTGATTAATAGTTATTTACATTCGTGTGCGGTAACTTACATTTTACAGTGCGAAATGAATTTGAAGCACGACGCGCAGCGGAGTGCTTTAATAATTGAGCACTGTAAAATGGTTAACGCACAAGATTTGTATTAAGCTTTTTGGCCGACGTTTAAACAAAAATCTACAAAATTCAGAATTAATACAAGTAAATACGTTTGACATTAAATATCACGGTGGCTATGCACTCTAATGTCAAACAATTAAAAAAGACGCAAAAACGTCTCAGACACAAAGT